CAATATTCTTCTTGATTTCAGCTTGAATATTCTAGACCTTAAAATCGGAGCTACATAGGATAGCATAATATTCCCATAATATTTTGTATCTTGTTAACTCTTAAATTGATCCAACAACCCAACCCAAACTAGTCAGTGTCAAATGACTCGGCATAGGACATCTTGTCTGACATGTTGCTCTAGTTGATGAATCATCTCAACTTAACATGTTTCTTCATAAAATAAGACTTCTTGCTTAACATGTTTTTCTCAACAAGTTAGAACGTCATATTAAACATACTGCTACTATATTTGTTTTACTAAAAATAATGCCAATCATAAAATAGAGAACTAGCAAAAGACGTTGACTTAAAAGTAAAAGGAATGAAAGAGATTATGGTAAATATAAACTGATAATTAATTAAAATATGGTGATTCATACGTACATTCTCAAATACTTTTTTCTCTAAACACTGGTACTTCGAGTTTTATGAGTAACTTGTACAAAAGTGAACACACTAAAATCTAACATTAAAACCCTAATTTATACTACTTCGACCATAATGGTCTTTTACTACAGAAATACCATGTTCAACGCTGCATGTTTTCTCAAAACCTCAGGCTTCCACGCGTCCTTCTGGATAAGAATAAAACATTTGGATTCAAAATCAACCTTCAATCCCAAAGCGCCAAACATCATGCTATAATCTGTTGAATTTGAAACTTGAAATATCTTTAAGTCCTTATACACTCCGCAATAACAAGACTTCGCTAAATCTTTATTCAGTCAGTCAGTTGAAAGAACATTAACTAACCAGCTTCACACCCCTTTTGAAAATTTGAACTTCCTTCAACATCCTCTCATTTTCTTCCAAATTATACACTATCAAAATTCTAGCCAACACCTGGGTGGTTTTATAGGAGCGTCTAGTATCATGATAGGGTGTGACATCCTATAGAGCCATGTCATGTAGTCGGATGCATAATCCCAATTTAGATGAGCTAACACTTTAAGATACTTCTCTGGTACCAAATGAATCTTGAAATCCTCAAGTATCACATTAAGATCTTTACGAAGGACGGTGGTATGAGCAGACTCAAAGGGGGGTCTCAGAATAATATAAAAATAGCCAAACGGACGCATCACTCGCTCGGGAAGATAATGATACAACATAGTTGACCCACATGCCATCCATCTAACGTATAAGGAGATGACATCCAACTAACGCGTCTCGCAGTGAATGTCTGAATGGAAGAAGACAGTGTCATCTAGTACATGATGGTCAAGATACACTCTGAATGGATCAATCTCATTATTTCCCCTGTACGGGATAAATGCAGCAGAACATGGTCAATCCTCAATGTAGGTAGGCACATCTTCCCACCTGGTGATATGAGGGAAATGGAAGATGATCCATCCCTTAAAATAGTTTAGATACAATATTAATAAGAAATGTAACAAATGAATTATGAAAATATTAGTAATAGTAAATTACTGTAAGCATCGTGCAACTTCCTGTCATCTGCTTTATCTTCCAAAGATAATCCTCACCCAACTTTGAGTACAGGTAGACCAAACATGCAACACCCTAGTTATACTTATGAATTGTTGTCAAGTCGATAAAGTATTTAAGGTAGACCATATTAACGTAGGATGCACTTTTGTCCATAAAAATGGATGTGCCAACCAAGAACAAGAGGTAACACCTTAATGCACAAGTCTGATGGTACTCAAGTTGCATACCACCACCATCGGCCTCCATAACACATCACATGTGGTCTTTACAAAGGTCTTCCAAAATTTTAAATCTAGCATGCACACCTCTGGTGTGAGCTACCTCATTTTCCGCCATACGACGTCTATGAATTCCTTCTCTTAATAAATATTGTCTGCATGCCATTATTTATTGTCATGTACATAGAAACACATAAATCGACAAGACCAGAATATCGGGTAACATTCTTGAACGAATCAGTGTCGGGCTTTACCAACTCTAGTATCTTTTTGTCGTGGTTGATCAAAAGCGCAGCGGAATTTAAAATTTTCCTTTAGCGATCCTTACGAATGAGCATGGTCAGTGATAGAAATATTTACCTCTTGTGGTGATTCAGACCTTTGATGTTGTGATCACGAGCGTTGATGAAGAACAACGCCTCTACTCAGTCCACACGAACAGATCGCTTCCGGTCACAGTGCTAGCTGATCACGAACGGAAACCTTGAGTGAGAGAGAGAATCAAAAACGAAATTGCATCAAGTGAAATTGCTTTATCACAAGGGATCTATTTATAGAATCACTCGTGTGGGCTACAAGCTAAAAGCCCAATTAAGGCTATAAGCTAAAAGCCCAATTAAGCTTATGGACATCATACCTTATGATGTACCATATATCACTTATCCACGTGGTACCTTACCACTTTCCGTATTACATTTAAGTGCACCGTATCTTACGGTGTTCCTTATTTATTTTATCTCTCATCAACCTGTCCTTATGTGTGTGACCCTGTAGGTTTTCGCGACGTTGGCAATTATATTAAATCACACATTTAATATAATAAACAGTGAGCGGTATCTAGCAACACATCATTGTTACCCAAGTCACGAAAATGTCATGTGATCTGACCAAACCTTTTCCGTGATAATATTTGTGTTGTACAATTACCCTTTTGCCCTCATGTCTATATTGAACACAAGGCATACACTGTGTCACCCTTGTCCAGTTCAATATTGGGCCCTTATACATTTATCCTGTTATACAGGATGAGAAAATTCCATCTAGGTCACTCATGTCCCTTAGCATGCTTTGTGAAGTACCCATCAACCGTCTTTATAGTCATCCAGTTACGGATGATGTTTAATCAGCAATAAAGTACTTGACTCTACATCTAAGGTCCATAGTGGTTTCAGGTCGAAGGGTGGTATACACCATTATCATCATGAGAATAACTTATGACACTTTGCATAACATTCTATGTAGTATTCTCATAGCGGGTCAATCCAGTATAAATATTACTCCTAATATTCATACCTATGTCAAGACTTGATAACTCCTTATCTATGATCCATGAGATATGATCATCAATCTATCTTCATAATAATCTTAATGCTTTAATGTTATCCCACTTCACATTAAAGCTTGACTACGGATACTTTAAGAATAGTGTCTTATGTTTAATGGGATCTCATGATTAAGTCACACTTAACATTTCATTAAACAAATAAACCATTCTAGGGACTTTATTATTTTGGAAAGCAAACATAATAAAGAAATGCCTTTTATTATTAATAAATAATTCGATACAAGTACCAAAAGTATTGGCCTCTAGGGCTTACACCAACAATATCACCATCAATCTTGATTTAATTAGTTTGAAACATATGTATTGCAAAAGTAAATAAACACACATTTCCTTCCCAGACCTTCCTAATAACATGGTCTACATAGAGATGATGTAAGGAGGTGTCATATAGGCCTCCTAGATAACTCTCTAAAGGGGCATCAGCAGCAGATTCCTCCTGGACTTTAGGGGCTTCAGGTGCCACTTCATCATTTAGGGACTCAGGACTCCCTAAAGTAGAGTCTTGAGACATGAGGAGGCTACGAGAAGTAGAACCATATGGTCACGAACCTCGGCATTGTGAACCACCAAATGAGGTTTCATCAACTTATGGCCTCGTGGTCCTGCTAACGGTCCTCTCGCGTTGTACAAACGCGGTTTGAGACACACGGTCGAGACTAATTTTTCCAGAGTTGTTTTCGGCCATTACACCTACGTTAAAACCAGATATTCAAATAAAAAATTCAACCAAATTCTGTAGGGTTCAAATGCGGAGATACATCTCCAAAAACATTTCAGAAAGAATCCAGAGATACATCTCTGGACAAAGTTGTGATTTTGCAGAGATGGGAGAAACACCATTGCTTCATTAAACTCCAAATAAATTCGGCATGTTCATTTAGGCTACCTATTTCGATTGCTCGCTACCTAATGTAGTTTAAACATCTTGTGTTTCCTAAAACATAATTCAAAACAAAAGAGAAATTATTTTCTAAAAACTTATCAAATCTAAGTTGTGGATGAGAAGTTTGAATGAAGTGAGAAATTTGCAACAAATGAAGTAGAATGCTATGAGAAACTTGAATGATTGAGGAAGAGCACCAGTTAAGTTTTTTTAGGTTGAGTGAGTTTTCAGTAAATGAAGGAGATAGAGAGAAAGTTCTAGCGCGGATTAATGTATTAAACGCGTTCGGAGGTAAATCTCTGTACCACCCACTAAATTTTGAATTATGGTGTTTATGGAGATGCATCTCTGGACTGACCTTTTATACATACGGAGATGCATCTCCGAATTAAATTTTGGCAAAATAAAAATTTCGCATCAATTTGTGCTAAAGAGTGTGGAAAAAATGCGTTCGAAAATATATCTCTAGACACTAATAACTTTTCACAATGGCGGATGAGTACTCCTAAAAATAGAAAAAGTAAATAAAAAATAGTAAAAGGCGAAATAAATCACACCACTACATAAAAAGCCTAAAATTTAAATTCTAAAAAATATCTTGCTTAAATTCTAAAATTCGGAAGTATTTTTAAAACCATTGCCATTTAAACTCCTTTTCTCCTACTTCTATTTGTTTTTACAAATTTACACCAACGTTTATATAATATATATTTGTTGTAATGAAAGTGTTATTTTATGCATAAATATCTCTTCTGCCAAATATATATATTATGCATAAAATAACATTTTCATTACAACAAAAATTGAATAGCTTTAATAAAAGAATAAAAATTGACTCCATAACTTTCACATCATTCAAATTGCATACCCAATATTAAGGGGAGATTATTCCAAAAGATTATCCAATGAAAACCACTATATAACATAACATAAAGCAGTACAAACCAAAAACTATAATGTATATCATATACCGATATATGCTTCTTTTTTTTGGGGGGGATATGAAATAAATAAAAGACTTGACTTGATGAATCATGTACATCATGTGTTGTTGCAGGTTAAAAGGACAGCGAGGATGAAACTTTGAAGTTTATATCCCAAAGCTCAAGTCCTCCCTTAACAAAATCATAATGTGCACCTTTTAAAGCCACTGTTTTCTTCACAACTGCTTCTCTCACAAATGGATAAGTCAGTAAATTCCCAAGAGACACGTTAACAGCTTCCTGTATTGAAGAATAAGATAAAGAAACTTCAATATACAAGATTGCACCACTAAATATTTTTACTCTTGTAACAAAATATTAAGGGATAAGCTTTGGCTTAAATATACTTGCCTTCTCCAAGTTGGTACACTGCTCAGAGAAATCTAATTCACTTGCTTCTACTTTAACTTTGGACTTTGCTGCACTACAAATTTGGACCCAATGTTCTATGAAGTCACTGTATGGTCATAGAGGAAGGTAATTATTTTCAAAGCCACAAAGAATTGTATTTGGTTCCTTATTTTCATATACGAAACTAATATTAGTACCTTGCAATGGTCCCATCATCTGGGATGGACATGAGACCCTTTATACCTCCACAACAGCTGTGTCCAATAACAACAATATTCTCCACCTGTAACATTAAAAACAACATTATTATGTACCACTAATACTATTTCTTTTTCTTTTAGTTTACTCTATGATTTTAAATGGATGTTTGATGATAAGTGTTGGGTTATAGTTCAGTGACTAGTGCCTAACATGGAAAAGTAGATACTGTTTTGTACTTCCTCCATTTATGTATATCAAATAATTAACACTAGTTTGTAACGTATTTGAAACTTTAATTGGGCTTTGGTGCAAAAGAATGGACATGAGAAGTGAAAAGCCATATCATATGATAAGGAAAGAATAATGCTATTTTTTTAATTTATTTACTTTTAAATGTATGACGGCATATTCAATGGCAGCTCCAGTTCCTGAATGTTTGGTCTGCAATAATTGACACAGAAAAGTAATTAAGTCAACCATTTTAATCAGATGATAAATTTATGTTTAAGTCATGATTAAAATGGACAAATTAACCTTGTCATATGGTGGAACCATGTTGGCAATGTTTCGAACAACAAAGGCTTCACCAGGTTGAAAATCCAAAATATGGGATGGACAAACTCTTGAGTCTGAGCATGCAAAAACCAGAAACTGCAAGTTGGGAAATTCAAAACACATTTGTGCAATATATGAGTTAGATGTTTACTTCATGACTAGGTAACTAGTATTAAAATAAGGCCACTGTTTAGTTCTACCAAAGTTGCTTCTACAAAAATATATAAAGCAACTTCCACACTATTAAAATGATTGTAATATTTGTCTCAAAGTTGTTATTTTAAGTTTTCAAGATAATTGTAATTCTTGTTTGAATGACAATGTAACTTTAAAAGTTTCTTTTTAAATTGTAGTATTTAATTAATATTCCATCCATTAAAATATAAATTATTTAATGTTAGAAGTATTTCATATTCAGAAATCTGAATTAGTTAGAAGCAATAGCTTCTGAGGTTGTTAGTTAGAAGTTTATGTAGAAACTGTGTGTAGTTGTTAGTTTAGTTGTTAAACATTCTTTGTGTATTTAAACAAGTTTGTAAGTAGTATCATAATGCAATTTTCAGTAATAGAGTTTCTTTCTAAACAAGTTTGTTGTAATCATTTTCTCTCTATTCTCTTTCTCTCTTCTTTCATCTTCATCTTTAATCTTGTGTTCTAATAATTGGTATTTAGAGTTCCGGTTCGATTCACAGAGAAACATGAGCGTAAGTAAGGCATGTATGATTGATTTTGTTTCTTGAATTCGCGTTGAATTCATGATCGAAATTGTAACAAAATTGCCTTTCTTGATTTTGCGGGATTGAAAAACACGAGAGTTTGGTGAGATCTGAGTGAGTTGCACACAAGAACGAAGATGAATAGCGGAAATAGCTTAAAAACGAAGCTTCCAATGTTTGATGGAGAAGCTTCGGTCTCTATGTAAGAAGTATGAGAATCTCAACATAAAGAACAATGGTAGGTACGTGATTATATCTGAAAAGTGATTTTGATCACAAGTGAGATGAAATCTTGTGGAGAAACTCTTTCTGAACAAGTAATTAGTGAGAAGGTATTGAGATATCTTACTCCTCAATTTAGTTACATTATTGTAGCAATTGAATATTCTACGAATTCCAGCACCATCAGAATTGAAGAGTTGCAGAAGAGTCTAGAGACATAAGAGTTGTGTTTGACTGAGAGAACCTTTGAAAGAGAGATAGAGCAGGCTATGAAGACTCTTCTGGTAAGAAGAGTTAAAAGCAGTCTTGGTCTGAAGCCAAGAAGAGATATGATGTTCAAAAGTCAGAAGCCTCCAATTCTGATAAGAAGAAACATCATAAGAGAAAGGGGAAGTTTGACAAGAGAAAGTTTCAGTGTTATAATTGTAATAGGTTTGGTCACTTTGCTAAAGATTGTTGGTCAAACAAGAAAAGGAAGTTAGAAGAAGAAAACATAGCCAGAGGAGATTCTGATGGTGAACCTGTGTTATTGATGATTTTTGAATCTGATGGTGGATATTTGTTAGACTGGTGGTATATGAACATTGGTTGCTGAAATCACTTAACTGGAAACAAACAATGGCTGGTTGATTTTGACTTTTAAAATAGGACAAAGATCAGATGTGCTGATGATAAATACCTTAATGCTAAAGGTATAGGAAATGTCAAAGTAAAAGTGAAGAATGGTAAAATTACTCTGATCAAGGATGTTTGATATGTTTCTTGCATGAAGAGCAATTTGATGAGTGTAGGTCAGATCATTGAAAAATGTTTCTCAATTACCATGAAGAACAATCTCTTGAAGTTGTATGATTCTGATCAGAAGTTGATTATGCAATCTGAACAGAGAAGCAACAGAATATTCAAGGTGAATGTGGAGACAGCTGAAACTAAATGCCTTAGTGAAGAAGACACTGAAGGTGACTGTGAGTTATGGCACAAGAGATTGAGGTATCTGAATTTCAGAAGCTTAGGGCATCTGAGTTCTAAGAAATTCCTAAGATTGTGAAACCTGAGAATTCATATGAGATATGCATGAAAGCAAGCAACCCAGATTTCCATTTACATCAAAAGTGGACCAAAGAGAAAATCATGCTTTGGGAGTTGTGTATTATGATGTATGTGGGCCATTTAAAGTACCTTCACTTGGAGGAAACAAGTATTTAGTGTCGTTTGTGGGTGAGGTCACAAGAATGACATGGGCATCACTCATCAAGTTTAAGCATGAAGTGTTTACCGAGTTTTAGAAATTCAAGGTGAAGGCTGAAAATAGAATGATCAGAAGTTGAAAGTTCACAGAACTGGCGGTGGAGGTTAGTACAACTCTACAGAATTCAATAAGTTTTGTGAGGAGAATGAGGTTGAGCATGTGGTTACTGATATATACACTCCTCAACACAATGGTCTTGTTGAAAGAAGAAATAAAACCTTGCTTGATATGACAAAGAGCATGCTGAAAGAGAAGAATCTGCATCACACCTTGTGAGGAGAAGCTGTTGCCACTTCATCATATGTGCTCAATAGGTGTACAACAAAGAAGCTGAAGGAAACTATTTATTTTGAGAACTGTACTAGAGATAAGCAAAGTTTAAGTCATTTTAGGGTATTTGGTCCAGTTTGTTACAAACATGTTGCAGGTGCTACTAGAATAAAATTAGATGATATAAGCAAAGTAATATTGTTGATTGAATACCACAGTACAGGTGCGTATAAGCTTTATTGTCTAGTCACTAATAAGGTTGAAGTCAGCATATAAGTTATTGTGAAAGAGTCAGAAGTGTGGGATTGAAGCAAGCCTCAATCCAACTCTGGTGCAGTGTTGACACTTGAGATAACTTCTGAAAATGAATCTGAAGCTAAAGGTGAATCTAATTCTGATCTTGATTATGATGATGATCCAGACTCTGGTGGTCGAGCCTCTGAGGGGGTCAAGTTTTTGAAGGTGGAACTTCTGAAGATAGAACTTCTGGAGGTGGTCTAACTTTTGAAGATGGTCCAACATCTGATATTATTCCAGAATCAGAAGGAGATTCTGAACAATATCAGAGGCCACAAAGAATTAGACAAATACTAGAAGATTTGCAGAGTATGACATGTTGCAAGATACTGAGATTGACTTTGAAGAGGAAGTCACTCATTGTGCCATGTTAGTAGACTTTGAACCAGTGGATACATAAGAAGCTATCAAGAATAAAGTGTGGTTGAAGGCCATGAAAGAAGAACTTGAGGCTATAGAAAGAAACAAGACTTGAGAGTTGACTGAGTTGATGAGTTTTTAAGATAAAGCTAAATCCATGTGGATAAATTGGTAAACACAATTAAATGTTAGTATCTAGAGAATTTTTACAAAAATATGGACTAGATTACTTTGAAGTGCTTACGCATGTAGTTAGACATGAAACAATCGTATTGGTGATTGTTATAACTGCAAGTAGGAATTAGCCTATGATGCATTTAGATGTGAAATATGTGTTTGTGAACGGTCCATTACAGGAAGAGATATATGTGTCACAGCCTCCTGGATTTATGAAGAAGAACAAGGAAGGATGGTGTACAAGTTACATAAAGCGTTGTATGGACTGAAACGAGCTCCTAGAGCTTGGAATCTGAAGATTGGTTCATTTTTCAAGCTTCAAGAATTCTGAAAGTGTGAGATGGAGTATGGCGTTTATGTACAACATATTTCTGAAAGCAATATGATTCTGGTGTGTCTTTATGTTGATAACATATTACTAACATGGAGTTTTTCTTATGAGATAGTCAAGTTCATGAAGGTGTTGATGAAAGAGTTTGAGATGACTGATCTGGAATTATGTATTTTCTAGGGATGAAGATTATGTACTCTGAGAAGGGTATAATTTTGTATCAACTGAATTATGAACTTGAACTTCTGAAGAGATTGGAGTTAAAAAATTGCAAGACTGAAATCGCATATTGTTGAGACAAATCACAAGATGGGTTCTGATATTGAGGATGGTGATGTAGATGATACAACTTTTAAATAGTTGGTTGGCTCATTGAGATATCTCTGTAACACCAGACCTGACATTTGTTATGCAGTTGGAATAATGAGTAGGTTTATGAACAAACCAAAGTGGCCTTAATACCAAGTTGTTGTCAAGATACTGAGATACATTAAAGAGACTAAGAGGTATGGAGTGTTTTTTCCTTCTGGTGTTAATTCTGACCCAGAGCTGATATGCTATTCAGACTATGATTGGTGTGGAGACAGAGTTGACAGAAGAAGTATTTCTGGATATTTTTTCAAATATCTGGGAAGTCCTATTTTTTTGGTTCTCTAAGAAGTAACATGTGGTTTCCTTGTCAACTTGTGAATGTGAGTACATTGTAGGTGCTCTGTCTGCGTGTCAAGTTGTTTAGCTTATGAATCTATTGTAGGATTAGAAGATTAAGGTGAGCAAACCTGTGAGTTTGATGATTGACAACAAATCAATTATAAGTCTTGCCAAGAATCCAATGCTGCATGGATGGAGCAATCACATTGACACAAATTTATATTTTTTGAGGAATCAAGTCCAGAATAGAGTGTAAAAATTTGCACACTATAACACTCAGAAGCAACTTGCAGATATTCTGACTAAAGCCATAGAGATTGAACACTTTGTCCACTTGAGAGATAAAATTAGTGTTGTAGAGTTTAATTAGTTAAAATATGAATTAAGGGATGGTGTTAGAAGTATTTCATATTCAGAAACTGGATTAGTCAGAAGTTGTTGTTAGTCAGAAGCAGTAGCTTTTGAGTTTGTAAGGTAGAAGCTTATGTAGAAGTTATGTTTAGTTGTTAGCTTAGTTGTTAAATATTCTTTTGGTTATGCCTAAGTGGTAGTTTACCTTTGTGTATTTAAATAAGTTTGTAAATAGTATCATAATGCAACTTTCAATAATATAATTTCTTTCTCAACAAGTTTGTTGTAACTGTTTTTTCTCTCTTCCTATTCATCTTCAATCTCGCGCTCCAACACATTTAGTAAAAAATAAGAAACATATTTGATTTTGTTTGAGAAATTTTTTATATACTATTTTATAAAAAAAATTCTTTATTAATGATATTAAAATAAAAAATTAAAAGAATTTGAATTAAATTTAACAATCAATTGATTCTGGTTGCACAACTCATGTTTTTAACTTGATGCAAAACATACGAAGATGCGCTATTTCAAATGACAATGTGATATATTTACATGAATCATAAAATGACTTTAATAGAATTGATTCTAATTGAGTTTAGTTGAGTTGATTTTAACATAATTGAGTTTAGAAAAATTAATTTATATTTAGATATATTTATGTAAAAGTGAGTTAAATAATAAATTTCATTGTAAGAATTATCCAGAATCAACTTTAGAGGTAGAAGTTACAAATTTTAACTTTAAATAAAATCAACTTTAAAAGCAGAATCAATTTTATTTTTAATAAATCAAACAATTCAAAATCACTCGTAATCATTTATATATATATATATATATATATATATATATATATATATATATATATATATATATATATATATATATATATATATATATATATATATATATATATATATATATATATAATTGATTATGGGTAGAACCAAACATACACTTATAAGTTAATAATAATTCAAATTTATTTTCAAAAGCCACTAATGATAATAATTTTATAAATGATTAGATGATATAGTTATTATACTGATGAAAATATTATTTAAGAAAACTCTCATGTTAACAATTAGGGCCACTAATCGGGTCTAGTTGAATTTAAATTTTTTTTTATAATTTAACTTATAGCATTTGTCTCTTTCTTTTTATTAACTATTTATTTTTCATTTTGTTAGGAATTTAAAGAATAAACTAGTAAAATATTCATGCATCCGCATAGATAATGGTGTAGACTGCGAATATGTCACTAATTTAAATTTAAAATTCAAATAAAAGATAAAATATTAAAATATACTTATAAAAAAGGAAAAATGTAAATAACAATAAAAATTAAATATTTAACATAATTTAAAATAATCGTTATTTAATTAAATAAATAATTGTTTAATTGAAACAATTCAATAAAAAAATGTTAAGAAAAATGATAAAATAGAAAAGGAAAAAAAATATATTAAGAAAAATAAATAAGGAAAAGACATAATTTTCTGATAAAAATAGTTTATAATTTTTTAAAGAGAAAATTAAATGGTTTTAATGTTATATTCCTTATTAAATGTATTTTAATAAAAAAAATATAATTTATTTTAAAATATAATAAAAATTAAAATCAGAAAAACAAAATGGCATATAAATAAAAGTAATTCTTTTGAAAAAGTGTAATATAAATGGTTTAGGATTCACTGAAGTCTGCTCAGTGGTGCAGCTAGGTATTCAAAGTATTGATGTCCATCGGATTGAAAATGAACGATACAGATTTACTAAAGAGTTGACTGTATGATTTCAATCTAATGGTCAAAAACCATAGACATTGTGAAATTGCCATGTCCATGATTGCAACGTATTGCCGTCCATATTTTTACACTATATAGGAAACGAAGTGTTTACATTCACTCTTATACATCTCTCTACAAATGTTGGGTCCAACTCCCCACAGTGTGATATCCACCAAGAAAAACCCTCCCTCGTTTCTCCTCCACCATTTCATCGCAGAACGCAAGGATGTTTGAGAAAAGCATGTGGAAACCATTTCTGCCGTTACCCGCGATTGATGAGGATCCATCACTGTAAGTTCATCTGTTGTGCGTGTATGATAGGTTGTAGTATTATTATGTTATCCCAGTGTCGAAGTCTGTAAAGTAGACTTGCATGTCCTCTCATTGATCATTGTTTCGTGAGATGAAAATGTTGCTTAGCGTTCTAGGGTTTATAACATAGAAACGTGGAATTTTGGTAAATCTGGGACGATTGTATTTAAGTATGTGTGTTATTTAGGGTTTATTTGTGTTTGTATGTTTGATTCATATGTAGTGTGATATTCAATGCTAACCCTTTATATTTTTCCAGTCATCATATTGCACGGGATAAAGTAGGTGTATCACACAAAAGAACTACGCAGTGACATTGATATTTTAGCTTTTGAGGAGAGTCAAAGAACAGAGAAGGGCAAAGAGAAGATGACTCAAGTGGAAGACGAAATGAAGGGCAACAAAGAATATGGTTTTCTTGACAAGGGAAAGGGAATAGCATCAGATGGTGTGACATTGTCCGGTGTCGAAGCCCAAGTGCTGGTGAATACATAGATATTTCATTCGATAGCGAGAGGTAGTTGTAGTTTCAGTTATATGTCGTTCGCTAGTTTGTAAAGTTTGTAAAGTAATAATTAACTATTAAGTATTATATTATGTTATGGTGAAACATTGTAGGGTATACACACTTGTCTATGAGGAGCAGCATGATGTAGTATGGGATCGTGTAGTAACGGACCCTATGGCTCTGCGGAAAAATGCCCTGGTAAGTAAGTCGTAGCTTCCGTTGTTGTAGGTTTCCATGGTGACAAAAGTTTGTTATGAGTTTACATGTGTAAGTTATCTAAAGCTAGATTTAAATTTTCAGCAACTTCTGAGACATGTCATCAGGACCTGCATCCAGGGAGGGACTAGGCCAATTCAACTCTACGATGCCGACAACCACGTCTCCTACCATTTCCTGATGAAAAAAGAGACTACATAGTATTGAAAGGTATCTACTGAGGGAACGGTACGACTTTGCTAAGGATGAAAATCTTAAGATTGGTGATAAACTCTTGTTTACCATCCAGTATCCCCCCGTGGATGAAATCATGGTAAAGGTGGAGCGCAGAGATGCTATAAGTGGATGGAGGGCATGGTAGATTGGTGAACAGACAGGGGGGTCAAGATTGTCCATTTTTTCAGGAATCTCATGTTTTCCAACATCTGCAACAGTTGTGCCACCAGTGAACTTCAAAATAAATTTATGTTTCGTGGGTTTGAATAGCAAGTCGTTATGGACCACTTAGAAGTTGGACATCGTGCAAGTGGAGTTAACCAACAAAACAAAGTCAAATGTCTACCTAAACATACTTGGAACTACCACTTGAATGTCATGGCCCTATAACACAATATCTTACAATCTAAACATCAAGCAACAACCCATAAAGGAGAATAAAAATATTACCCATGTGTCTAGAACAAAAATACTAAACAACATTCACCACAAAACCATAAGTCTAACACAAAGATGAACAGACATTTTAGGGTTCGAAGATTGAAACTCACATGTTTGTCTACTATCACCAACTCAAAGTGCTCCTTGGTCGTTGTCAGCACCGTCCACTTGTGATGAATCCAAACGGCCAGCTTCCATAAATCTTTGCGTTCATTAATGTCTCCTATGTTGTCAAAAGGTCTGGCCATTTTCAAACGTATCTTCAAGGGTTGGTTGCCGATGCAAACAGTAAACTCTTTGAAGATGAAGAGAAGTATTGTGAGACTAAAGTATGAAGGAACAAATGTATAGTGAGAGAGAAATATCAACATAAATGGAACAAATGGTTGGTATTCTCAGTAAAAGGGACGTAAAGTATCTGAGACAGAAGTACAGATGGAAAAAAGCTAAGTCAGTGTTAAATGTGCTTAGTTCGGTTACATGATAGCAAACCAGTTTCGTCATTTTAGTATATTATCAGCTAACCAATATGTTTACATGGTAAATACTCCAGATCTGGTTGCAGAAGGGCCGTCAAAAGACGCAAAGTGAGGCATAAACGTTGTCGTGACCAGCAGAATAGCAAGGATATAATGGTCTTATTCAAAACTATCTAAGTTCTTATATGGTAAATATGACCCATCATTAGGGGGTGGAAATAGGCTGGACCGAGTTAGACTTTGTCAAACCTGAGTCTGACATGCTAAAAATTTCAAAGTCTATGTTTGTCCTGTGGCCTATCAAAGGTTTGTTTTTAGGCTTGAGCCTGACCTTTTCGAAAGCCTGATTGACCTATTATCCTTAATAAAAGCCTATTTTATTTGAACATTTTCAAATAAGCAATTCAACTAATGTTAAAATAGACTAACTGATAAAAAAAAATTAATTAGCCTAGATGTTTATTTGCATTGACTTATTCAAGTTTACCTATTAACATATATTTTTTTATACTATTTATTTGAGAGAACTTATGAAAACAACTTATGATATTTTTCATAAGTTTTTTCAGCGTATTTTCATAAGTCCTTTTAGACATATATTTTTGTATTTTAATTTAAAATACAAACCCCATATAATAATAATAATAATAATAATAATAATAATAATAATAATAATAATAATAATAATAATAATAATAATAATAATATTTATTTAAATAGATCAGCCTGATAAATTTAAAAGGTCTTTTTACAGTCTATAATTTAGTTTTTTAATTAAATAGACTTTTTAAAAAATCTAAACTTTTTCTATTTAAAAAAAAGATATTAACCTGACCTGAGCCTATCTAAATTAGCCTATAAATCTCTATTACTAATCTGACCTATTTCTACCCCTATCCATCATACAACTCAATGGAGAATTAAAAAAAAAAATGAAACAATTAATATCGTATCTAATAATATGGCTCACCTTTGGGCTCTGACCTTTCGCAAGTTGACCATATAATTCTGGATTCTGTCTGAAAAAGAAAAACAGCTAATTCAAACTTTAATTTCTTCATCTTCACCTGTAAATTAAATTTAAAAATAAAATACTTTACTCAAATGAATATATTTAATAACATATAAACCTTCCTTACCGGTTAGCACCTCCAAGAAGGTTTGAAACAGACAGATCCACAAAAGAAGGTCATAATATTAAATTTATATATTAAATATAGTAAGTATTTTCCTAGGGTCTATCAAATACTTCTAGTTTTTAAATCAACTTTTTGTCTTGTTAATAAATTATTACAATCATCCACTAATTCAATAATTGTATAAAAAATTGATGTGTATAATAAGCTGTCCTTTTATAATTGTTATATGAGGTACTGGTTTTCATTTTCTTATACACTTATATACCTTATCCTATCTTATGTGATATCCTATTTTTAACAAAATGTCAACTCATAAAAAAAAATTCTCCTTTTTTTTTTAGCTAAATGTCAAAATCATAAACTTAGTCAACTTTATAAAAATAATGTAGTATAAGAAAAAGACAAAATATTTATTTTGGATCTTTAATTATATTTTTAAGTTTAAATTAATCATTTAATTTTTTTAATTACTTTAATCTTTTAATTTTTAAAATGTTTTATTTTGGTTTTTTTTATCAAATTAACAATGAGTTTAACGATCGAAAAACTAAAATAAATTATTTTTAAAATTAAGAGATTAAAATGACACGAAAAAATTAAGAAATTAATCTAAATTTAAAATATAATTAAGAGATCAAAATAAGTATTTTATCTATAAAAAATATCAAAAGATAAGATAATTTTACTAAATTAATAAGATATAAATACTCTATAAGTTTAGTTATAAATGCCTTGGATGTAATAATTTGTCTTAAATTAATTCTTACTAATCAATTTTTTTTCTTTAGCACTTTCCTAGGGGAATGGAATATGATTATTTTAATTTAAAATAGAGAAATTGAAGTATGAACATTTAACTAAATATTATTGTATCCATTTTTTTTTATAAAAAAAAAATTGATTTTTTAAATTTATCTAATAAATGATGTATTTAGATTATATAATTTAAATATAACATTTATTAGATATAGTGTAAATAAATTATTTATTAGATGAATTTAAAAAATTAAAATTTTCTTATAAAAGAGAATGAAATAATATTAATTATCAGAAATCAAATTAAATATTTTTCAAATATCATTCTTAATAAGAATTTATTTATTATTAGAGCTCAAATACTTAGTTAATCAATTCTTTTATTGATATTTTAATCTTTTTATTTTAATGGTATTGACGAGATCTTTTATTCATTCTTAACACTAAGATTTTAGTTGTAAACATTTACATTATACACTTATACAATTTTTTTGATAAGTTTGCATTAACTTCAACTATATTTATAATTTCCTGAGAAAAAACAAAAGCAGTTTGGTTTGGATAAATTATTTATAAGTAAAAGTAGCTCACTGAAATTTTTCTTTCTTGAAACGGTTGAATCCGGTTCGAATCCTCTCATCCGGTTTAAAAGGCTCCGACTCAGCGGCCACTAGCTCCGTCGTCAACTGCTTGATTTTTGCGGCGGCGAAATCTGCAAGATCAGTGTTCTTGCTGAAAAAAAAAGTTACAAGTCATAAATCATCATTGGAGCTGGCCATGTGGGACCCAGTGACAGTCTTAGGGGTCTACCTACTACAAGCCACCTACCTATTTCAGTGAAATGTCTTGAATTTAACATGTATCTTTGACTTTGATTTCTTTGTCTAATTATCAACTAAATTGCATTAAAGAAATTTTATTTATTGAAATTTCATACATTAGTCTACTAGGAAAAAAAAATAATTAATACAGTGGTTTTTTTTGTTGTGTTGTGGGTTGAAAAAGTTGATATGATTGGTTAACCTTAGAAGCTTGGTCAAATCAGCAACAGCCTCCTCATATGATTCTCCTGCCATGTCTACCTTCCATACAAACAAAAAACAGAGTATATTTGATTATGGTCAAACTAAATAAAAATATTTAGAAAATTTCACTAACAATATGTGAATTTACTACATATGTGTAATTAAAGGATGAAATATGAAAGAAAGAAGAGAATATCATGTTGTGATGATGGAAGAGAATATCAATGGAACAGTCACCTTTGCTTTTTTTTTTTCTTTCTATGAATGAACAGAAGAGAGAAAGTGATTGTGGATGATGAGTTGCAAATTTGACGCGCTCTAGAGGGAAAGAGAGAAAGAAGTGGAGTGGATGGAATGCTTATTCTGTGCCACCGAAGCTGGGTATTAATATTAATGATGATGATTTTGATAAAACAAACTTATAATAAAATCAATGCAAAGTTTTCAAAACGAATTTTTAAAGTAACACAATTTTTATTTAGTAATTTTTTTAAAATTTATTGTTAGGGCACAAATTAGCATTAAGCCTTAAATGTTTAATTAATGATTTTTTTTTTTAAAATATTGTGTTTTAATGTATTTTAAGATTAGGATGACAATGGTATCATATTGAATAGATATTTGTGAAAATTATTTATGATGGATAAGATAAAAATTTATAAAAATTAATACAAATGCGGATGCGAATAATTATCTATTAAAATAAGTGAATATAAGTGCAGATATAAATACTTTAGTACATATCTTGTCTCATATTTGTATATTGTATATTTGTATATTTATAATATAAGAAAATCATATCTACCCAAAAAGACAATTTTATCATTTTGCTCCAAAATCAAAACACGTGGATGGACTATTTGAGATTTCAAATTTGTTATGTTCCAAAAGCAACACAAGCGTGTATATTCTTCTACGCTTCTGTAACCTCCCTTTCCACCTCCCCTTAGCCTCCTTCTCCACCTTCCCTTATTCATCATGTATTTTGTAACTATTTCCATAATCAATGTTAAAATTCCTAAATGCTTGTCCGTTCCACTACTTCTTAAACGTATTCTTTCTCTACAATTCCTATTCTTTCTCTATCTTTTGTACGACAGTTACCAACATGAAGAGGATGACAATTTCGCATAGCCATTTTTTCTCAACCTCTTCCTTTCTTCTCTCTTTCACCGTCTCTCTCTTCCTCTCTCTTGCGCCGATATTGGTGGTCCGCAGCGAACGGAAGTAGCTACTCTGTGCTGATTTCTGGTGGGGGGTTTCCTGGATCGGATGTACTGCGCCGCGTCAGAGGGAGAAGCTGAACAACGGGTTGCGGGATGTGAAGGTGGAGCGTTTCTCGATTGGTTGAGATTGGAGGTGCGATCTGGTGCGTGGAATGATTGTGCGTGGTTCAGAGGAATTTCTCGGTCACGGATCTTCTTCTATTTCACCCAATTTCAACACTGAATTGATTTTTGTTAGTCTTGTAACATCACATGAATGAACAAAATGTATTGAATTCTACGTCAATATTATATGTCTCTTATGTTATTAGGGGAAGATGTTATATCGGTGTCATCCATTCCAGAACAAGTAACCCCAAAGAGATCTCAAGACATACTGTTAATTTTGGAATAAACTCATAGTTTTCATTATAATTTGGTATGTACAAAACAACATTATATATATTGTTTAAAGTATCAAACTGTTTAGTAACAAACTAAACAGAATTGTAACAAACTTATAACAAACTAAAACTAACTATTTTCATCATGTAATAGCCCCCCACAAGTTGGACTATGGATGTCTAATAGACCAAGCTTGGAAACAAGAGAATCGAAAGAGGGAGCTGCCAAAGGCTTGGTGAGAACATCTGCCAGTTGAGCAGCAGAAGAAACTGGTAAAAGATGGATGAGACCTGTTTGGATTTTCTCACGAATGACGTGGCAGTCAATTTCGATATGTTTTGTCCGTTCATGAAAGGTGGGGTTGTGAGCAAGGTAGATAGCACTTTTGTTGTCACAATAGACTGAGATAGGTTGATCTAAGGAGATGTGGAGATCCTTGAACAAATACTGCAGCCATTGCAATTCACAATTCAAGCTTGCCAAGGCCCTGTATTCTGCTTCTGAACTGGATTTGGATACTGTAGACTGCTTTTTGGATTTCCAGGATATGAGGGAATTGCCAAGGAACACACAATATCCAGTTACGGATCTACGGGTAGCAGGGCAACTTTCCCAATCTGATTCTGCGAAGCCATAGAGTTTGAGTGGAGAGGAAGATGAATAGAACAAACCCTTGGCAGGAGCACCTTTGAGATACTTGAGTACTCGAATTGCTGCAGAATGATGAACTTGCATAGGATGTGAGATGAATTGGCCGAGCTGTTGAACGATGAATGCAAGGTCAGGTCTGGTGGTAGTCAGATATAGAAGTTTTCCAACAAGCCTTCGATAAGTTGTGACGTCTTCGAAAGGTGGTGAGTTATCATCATGAAGCTTCAAGGAATAATCGAAGGGAGTAGAGCAAGGTTTAGTAGCCAATAAGCCATTGTCTTTGAGCAATTCCAAAGCGTACTTTCTCTGATTGAGAAAAATGTCGTGAGTGGATCTGGCAACTTCTAGACCAAGAAAATATTTTAGCCTACCAAGGTCCTTGATTTTGAAAGTGGAATCAAGGAAGCATTTGACATATTTGATTTCCTGCAAATTATTACCGGCTAAGACAATATCATCAACATAGACTAATAAAACAGTAAAAGAAGAGTCATGTGATTTTGTGAAAAAAGAATGATCAGCAGAAGAATATGAGTAGCCAAGAGAGATAAGGGCAGTGGACAATTTCGAAAACCACTGTCTGCTAGCCTGCTTCAGGCCATATAGTGACTTATGCAATTTGCAAACTTTGTTGGTCGAAGAGGTGCAGACTTCGTTGGTCGAAGGAGTGCAAACTTCGTTGGTCGAAGGAGTGCAAACTTCGTTGGTCGAAGAAGTGCAGACTTCGTTGCTCGAAGGTTCATTTGATGGTGGAGGTAAGTTGGGTGGAATGTTGGTGAAAATATCAGGTGAATCAATCGAAGGAGGGCCAGGGGTAGGAATTATAGGATTAGGTGCAGGTGGGATGAATACAAAAGGGAACACAGTTTCATAAAAGAATACATTCCTTGAAATGTAAAATTCATGTGTGATAGGATCATAGAGAAGGTAGCCTTTTGTGCCTTCCCTGTAGCCAAGAAAAATAGATTTCCTTGCTCTTGGTTCGAATTTAGTGCGATGGTTAAGCAAGGTCGAAGAATAGGCAAGACAACCAAAGACTCTCATATGGTTAAGGCTGGGAGGAATAGAATGGAGTTTTTGGTATGGAGAGTGGTTGTTTAAAAGAGGAGTGGGAAGACGGTTTATAATATGAATGGCATGTTGTATGGAAAGGTGCCAAAGGTTGTGAGGGAGGTGAGAGTGGAAAGAGAGGGCACGGGCAACATTCAAAATGTGTTGATGTTTTCTTTCCATGATACCATTCTGTTGAGGCGTTTCCACACAAGACCTTTGATGAATGATTCCTTTAGAAAGGTAGAAAGTGGTCATGAGAAACTCAGGACCATTATCACTTCGAATGCACTTGAGTTTCTTGTTAAATTGGGTTTCGATAAAGGATATGAAGTGAATTAAATGGTTTCTGGTTTCACCTTTGTTGGCCATAAAAGTTGTCCAAGTAAACCTGCTGTAATCGTCTACGAGGGTTAAAAAATACTTGTGGCCACATATCGAAGGTGTTGAAAGAGGGCCCCAAATATCAACATGAAGTAAATCGAAGATGGCAACAGACTTAGTATTACTGTGAGTAAAGGGCAAATGTTTTTGCTTAGCCAAATGGCAAGTGTTACAGGGCTTATGATTGTCATTGTAGGTGACAAAAGGAAATTGAGAGGAAATACATTTGTGTATGTAGGGACTTAAGTGTCCAAGCCTAAGATGCCAAATAGTAGCAGGATCGAATTGGGGAGAAGAGGAGGTGTTGACAGATCCAGGTGTGGGAGAGATGGTCTTAGGTGGGGTGGCATCAAGAACATACAATTTGCCAATCCTCCTAGCTGTAAATCCAGTCATCTTGGATTGGGGCAACTGCATAATTTGACAACAATTAGGAGAAAATTTCACATCATATAAAGTGGAGTCAAAAAGAGTGGTGACAGAAATAATATTGACATGAAATGAAGGAAAGTAATAAACATTGTGAAGGACAAGTGAACCACATAGTAAAACTGAACCAGCACTAGTTGTAGTGACAGAGTCACCATTAGGCATTGTCATAGATTTAGGTGCAATGTGGTATGTGGAAACGAAACTGGCAAAGGTATGGGTGATGTGATCAGTGGCACCTGTGTCAATGATCCACCAATTATGACAAGGAAGATTTGAGAAATTATTACCAGAGGAAGTATGAGGAGAGGTATTGGACACAGAATTAGCAGTATAAACTGAATTAATCGAGGGAAATGAAGGAGATTGCAAATTAGATTGTTGGAGGAGCTGCAGAATCTGAGTGTATTGTTCTTGAATTGTAGACAAAGCACTTGGACTGGTGTTTGATGTGGATGCAGCATCTTGAATCGAATTCACTGTAGAATCAGCAGAATTCCCCACAGATGTAGTAGGCTTGCGTTGTTGAAATCCATGGGGATAGCCATGTTTCAAGAAGCAAGTCTCAATAGTGTGATTGGTGCGGTTGCAATGGGTACAGAGTCTGTTACCACGGCCACCACGGCCACGACCACGACTAGTGTTGTGAGAAGAATGAGAAGGTGTTTGAGAAAGGTGATTCACAGATGATTGAGACTCAATCAAAGAAGCAGAAGGTGAAAGAAGGTCGAATTGACGTTCTTGTTGAAGAACCAGATTAAACACATTATCAAGAGTTGGTAGTGGTTTCATCAACATAATCTGGGATCGAACGTTAGCGTATTGGTCACCAAGGCCCTTCAAGAACTTGATAACTTTATCTTGTTCTTTGAATTTGCGTAAGTCTGAAGCAGCACCACAGGAGCACGGTATAGCGCAAGTACAATCGCGAATTGGCCGGAAGTTCTCAATTTCTTCCCAAAGCGTCATCAATTTTGTGAAGAACGAAGAGACATCAAGAGTTCCTTGTTGAAGACGTGCAACACTTTCTTGAATGTCAGCAATGCGAAAAATATCTCCCTGAGAAAAACGATTTTCCAAACTTTTCCATACAAGAGAAGCACGATCATACCAGAGAAGAGATTTGGCAATTTCCTCAGAAATTGAGCATTGAAGCCATGAGAGGACGAGATTGTTGCATCGCAGCCAAGGTTCGTATAGAGAGTCGGAGGTAGGGGGAGGAGAAAGAGTGCCATCAATGAATTTGATCTTGTTATTGGAGATAAGAGCTACTTTCATTGATCTAGACCAGATCTGGTAGTTCTTGGTATCAAGAACAGGTTGAACAAGAACAAGAGAGGGATTTTCATTAGGGTGCATGTAGTAAGGATTGGAAGGATTGGTAGCAAAATCAGAGTAAGGAAGCTCCATAACAAACGCAGAAACAACAAGGGAAGAAGGGGGCGCGAAGGCGCGAAGAAGAAAGGCGCGGAAAAGAGAATTCAAACTGATACCATGTTAATTTTGGAATAAACTCATAGTTTTCATTATAATTTGGTATGTACAAAACAGCATTATATATACTGTTTAAAGTAACAAACTGTTTAGTAACAAACTAAACAAAATTGTAACAAACTTATAACAAACTAAAACTAACTATTTTCATCATGTAATACATTCATATATCATCATTTATGTTGTTGGGCAACTGAACATGGTAAGGGAAATCTGGATAAAACATAGTATAATTATTATCTATGTTGAAATCGGTAGATGTGAGTAGATTCATTTTAAAGTTCTATTTATAGTATGCTATTTATCTCATTGTGGTTAACAATTTTCATATTTGGTGCATAAATTTTAATATAAAGATTGTTTAGCCATTGCACTTTTTTGTATGTTTGTGACAGGATCCACATAGTTTCGAGGTTATAAGTTGGTCAAAGATGTTTATTACCAAGAACCCATAAAAGTTGCCTCTGTTGTTACACCTAAAGAGTCAATCCCATGAACATTGCAATGCTTCTTCGAAATA